CACCTGAAAATAAAATAATTATGACATTTTCTATCAAAAGAAAGGTCCATTGGGCGAATGAAGTACAGTTAAAATGTACTTTTTCCATTAAAAAAAAAATATGCGTATAAGTATGAAACACTAATCTTTATAAATAGATAGGCCATTATTTGAATATGACAGCTTTTGCTTCGTTACAATTTAAACTGTTGATGTTACATGACAGTTAATTCTAAATTTCGGATTCTAAAGTTCGGATTTTTACCACCGCTACCGACCGCAACCATCAGCGCCAAAATGGTGAAAATCAAATATGCACAAAATATGACGTTTTATAGCCTGTCCATTTATACAATGGTATAAAATGTTGTTTAGTAGAGATTAATATTAGCTTCGCTTCATTGTCGACGGTGAGGTATTTACACCCTCGTCATCTGCCCGTGAAGAACGCGCTTACGCTGCGGCGATTTGCTTAATGAACTATAGGTTTAAATAGGTGCGAGATCTTAGTAAACTCACCTGGTGATGTTATTATATCGCTTAATATTGACTTTGAAGGCTTCAAAAACTAATACAGTGACTGCCAGGCTGATATCAGCTAGCGTGGGTTCTGATCCAACAGCATATTTGTTGCCTTCCAGTGTATTGTTGAGGATATTGAAAGCGTCATCAAGTTTATTCAACTGGTTCTCATTCATAGGCGATCCAAGGATTAAAGAATACTGAAACATAACATATTAGTTTCACTAGGATAATTTTTTAAAGAACGGGAAAAAAGATTTGGTTGCGGACTAACGATGAGTGAAAAGGATAGGTAACGACGAGAAGGGTTTATTAGAAGAGTATAGATATACTTTGCTATGTTCCGGCAATTTAATTCTCCAAGGACTGTTGTATTGTTTAAGTTTAAGTTTTTTATAGCTCTGAGCTTTAGCTTATACCTAAAACTTCAATAATTGCAAATATAACTTACGTAAACATCACCGAGTCTGGCGTAAAGTGTCCCTATATCAAAGTCCAGCCTCTGGTCTATTAAAGCGCGGGTGTTTATGTCCTGTGGGTAATATTTATTGTTGCCATACTTCGCCACAAGATATTTAGCGATGGCACGAGACTCGGCAAGGACGAGGCCGTCGTCCACGATAGTAGGTGCTGTGTGCTGCGGGTTTATCTGCAAAAGACGAAGAAGGAAATTGTAGTAGACACGTATATGCGTGGAATAGTACAAAAGTGATATTAGACAATCATCATTGTGCGTCCCGGAGGCCTAATTTAGTCCTCTTTCCCTTCCCATCTTTTTCTTTATAAGGAAAGGATGGGAAGTGGAAGTGGACTTCCCGGATGAGAGGATGCATGGAAAGAGAAGATATTTTCTTTCTGTGCATCCTCTCCTCCGTCGATTTAAGGTAGGCAACGCATATGCAATTGCGTATGTCTATGGGCAACGGTCACTTCGCTATTTCAGCGATTTATGGTGGCCGCTCGCTCGTTTGCCACCTTTTGATATAAAAAAAAAATCATCATCAACCCGAATACATCCCCATTTAGAGGCTCGGAGCCTACCCTAAGATAGGTGACTAGACTTTAGTCAACCATGCTGGCTTAGTGCGGGTTGCTTGACTTGTGAAGTCTTTGAATTTCTTCACAAATATGTGCAGGTTGTTCTCTAGTCTCCTCTTCTTAGTTAAAGTTGCTCTTGTCGCATGCACATCTTTTTAATAATACGATTAGGAATAAAAATTGCTTTGATGTCATCTTCTGGCCTTCTGGAATAATCAAAAGTTCTTCTAGATTGCGCTCTTTTCTTCCGTATTGTCCAATTTGTATAATATCTAAGTGTATTCTTCCTACCTTTAAGTATTCTTCTTTTAAGTGTTCATTGGCTTCAATGTTCACATAGTGGCTGTTGACCTGAGACTCTATGCCCACCTCTGCGAATATTAGTGACACCACAGCGCAAGGCGGCGAGCCTTTCATGTAATAGAAGTCAATAGTCATCGCGATGTCTGAAAATTAAAAGCAAATTGTGAAATTATAGACATTTTACTTTTCCTACAAAATATGTCACAGTTTTTAGTAAACAATATGTCGATTTTTAGGATTTTTTTTAAGTGACCATAGGGACTTTCTATCTAAAAGATATTTTTATTTTACTTGGCATTGAAATTCATATCCAAGTGTAGCTTCTTGTACTATTAAAATATCACTAAAATAAATCTATCAAGTACT